ACCGTGGAGGGGACGCACCGTGGAGGGGAACGCACCGTGGAGGGGACGCACCGTGGAGGGGACGCACCGTGGAGGGGACGCACCGTGGAGGGGACGTAGACCGCAGTACAGCACCCGGAAACGCGCGAGCAGGTTAGGGATGGTTTAGGCCGGACCGGAAGATCCAGTCAGTACACAACCTTCTTCCGGGAGAGATCTTCTTCCGGGAGAGAACCACCGTCCTTCCAGGACCTTGACCCCGGAGATTCAGTGAAGAAGATGGACCACCTAAAAGAACATACCATTCAAGTAGACCTCCGGTCCCTTGAATTGCTCAGGTCAACTGGAACTGAGCACAATACTTTGTCATCATCACTTCGTTAGTTATTACACTGTCTGACGGTTGATAATGTTGTCAATCCATGACCACAGAATGGTTCTAAGCAGGGAGTGGGTCCTAAATGCAGATGATATTTGGTCACTCCGGTTTTCTGAAATTTCCTCCATATCGGTAAAATTTTTCAGCGGAACGTTTCTCCCGTTCAACAAATCTCTTCATGTCCGATTCCATGTGCTTGTCTTCCATGGTTACGGGTTGCCATTGGTAATTGCTATCGGCATTAAGCTTCCGACTTACCTTCATGCGGGCTGTAAAGAATGCCCTGAGATAACGTATTCTTGCGACATGATTACCAAAGTTTTCCACGTTCTCCAGAGGTTCCCAAGTATTCTCGTTTTCAGGATAACCCTCCCATTTGATTAGGTACCACTCCTTACCGGACGGGTCCTTCAGCATATCGCGCAAAGCTTCAACATCATAAAGCTCAATTGAAGAGTCGCTTTCTTCAACCTGCTCTTTTTCATGCTCTCGAACCTTTTCCAAGTCTAGTTCTCGCGTCCTAACTAACTCCTTCTGCCGGCCTAAGTCTCGCTGCCTATCTAGTTCCCGCTGCCTCTCCTCCTCCTCGCGCTTCCGCTCCAACGCCTTCTGCCGAACCAACTCTTTAAGCCGCGCCGCTTCGCGCAACTCACGCTGACGCACTATCTCCTGCTCCTTAAGCCGCTCCCGCTCGCGAAGTAACTCGCGCTGCCGCTCCACCTCCTTGGCTCGCTCCTGAGCCTCTCGTCTCTCCACCTCCTTCGCCTTGCGCCTCTCTTCCGCTCGTTGCCTCTCTTCCGCTCGTTGCCTCTCTTCCGCTCGTTGCCTCTCTTCCGCTCGTTGCCTCTCTTCCGC